TGTGGGATGACATCAAAAACATCATACAGGAAGAAAGCCAAAGGTCATTAAGGAGACAAGAAAGAAGGAAAAGATCAAAATAGATGTCAAAAGAGACACTGAAACTTGCTTTCCAGTGTAGAGATGCTAAAGCAAATGTAAGAAATGAGGAGGTATAAGAGCTGAACAGAAAATCTCAAAGGTCATCTCAAGAAGACAAAGTCAAATATTACAACAAAATGTGCAAAGATCTGGAGTAAGAAAACCAAAAGGGAAGAACACGCTAAGCATTTCTCAAGCTGGGGGTACTGAAGAAAAAATTCAAGCCTCAACTTTCGTTATTGAAGGATTCTCTGGGCAAATTATTGAATGATGCAGAAAGCATCAAAAGAAGATAGAAGGAATTCACAGAGTCACTGTACCAAAAGGAAATGGTTGATGTTCTACCGTTTCAAGAGGTAGCATATGATCAAGAACCAATGATACTGAAGGAGGAAGTCCAAGGTGCATTGAAGGAATTGGCAAAGAAAAAAGCACCAGGAATTGATGGAATAAAATTTGAAATATTTCAAAAAAGTGAAGCGGCACTAGAGGCGCTCAGTCATCTATGCCAAGAAATTTGAAAGACAACTATCTGGCCAACTGATTGGAAGAAATCCGTATTTGTGCCCATTACAAAGAAAGGTGACCCAGTGGAATGCAAAATCATCGGACATTCTCTTTGATAGCCCATGTGAGTAAAGTTTTACTAAAGGTAATACAGAAATGGCTGCAAGCATACATTGACAGAGAACTCTTAGAGGTTCAAGTAGGACTGAGAAGAGGACGTGGAACAAGGGATATAATTGCTGATGTGCAATAAATCTTAGCTGTAAACACAGAATATCAGAAAGATGTTTACCTGTACTTTATTGACTACGCAAAAGCTTTCAATTGTGTGGATCATGACAAGCTAAGGACAACATTGCAAAGTATGAGTATTCTGGAACACTTAATTGTGCTCATAAGGAATCTGTACATAGACCAAGAAGCAGTTGTTCAAACAGAACATAAAAACACTGAATGGTTTAAAATTAAGAATGGTGTGCGACAGGGTTGTATTCTTTCACCATATTTATTCAACCTGTATGTTGTTGTTGTTGTTGTTGTTGTAAAGTACCGTGGAGTCGGTTCCTACTCATAGTGACCCTGCACAGGGTTTCCGAGGCTATAAATCTTTACAGGACGAGAATGCCTCATCTTTCTCCCATGGAAATGCTGGTAGTTTCGAACTGCCAACCTTCAGGTTAGCAGCCCGATTTGTAACCACTACGATGCTGAGCAAATAATCCAAGAAGCTGGGTTCTATAAAGAAAAACGTGGCATCAGGATTGGAGGAAGACTCATTAACAACCTGCGATATGCAGATGATACAACCTTGCTTGCTGAAAGTGAGGAGGACTTGAAACCTTGCTCGCTGAAAGTGAAGAAGACTTAAAATACTGATGAAGATCAAAGAGCACAGCCTTTGGTATGGATTGCATCTCAATGTAAAGAAAACAAAAATCCTCACCACTGGACCAATCAACAACATTCTTATCAATGGAGAAAAGATTGAAGTTGTCAAGGACTTCATTCTTCTTAGATCAAGTATCAACACTCTTGGAAGCAGCAGTCAAGAAATCAAATGATGTATTGCATTAGGAAAATCTGCTGCACAAGACCTTTTTAAAGTGTTGAAGAGCAAAGACATCAGCTTAAGGACTAAGGTGTGCCTGACCCAAGCCATGGTATTTTCAATAACCTCCTATTCATGTGAAAGTTTGACAGTGAATAAGGAAAACCATAGAAGAATTGATATATTTGAGTTATGGTGTTGGAGGAGAATATTGAAAGTTCCATGGCTGCCAAAAGAACAAACAGATCTGTGTAGAAAGAAGTGTAGCCAGAGTGCTCCTTGGAGGACAGGATGACCAAACTTCATCTCTCATACTTCAGACATATTGTCAGGAGGTACCAGTCGCTGGAGAAGAATATCATGTTTGGTAAGGTGGCAGGTCAGAGAAAAAGAGGAAGACCCCCAACGAGATGGATTGGCAAAGTGACAGCATAAATGAGCTCAAGAGTGGCAACAATTGGGAGGTTGGCCCAGGACCGGGCAGTGTTTCGTTCTGGTGTGCATAGGTCACTATGAATTGGTACCAACTCGATGGCACCTAACAACGACAACAACTGGTGGGTCTAATATCTACAGCAAAGTATAGTAGAAAAAAAGTAAAACAGGATTTTGAGAAACTGTAATGTGATATGAAAACGTGAATGGCCAAGTTTTCCACTGTTGACTAAGTCACAGGTAACAACAATACGGCTGTGGTTTGTTGCCTACACCAATCATTGAAAGAAATGTTAAATTAATGAAATTAAATATGTAACTTTTGTGCCTATCCAAGTCCATGGATCCCATGAATTTTATCCAATGACACAAAATAAGAAAGCCAGGTCGAAGGTACTATGACCTGGAACTACACTTTCATAAGGGTCACTGACACCTCAAACATTGAGACACCAGTGGAGGAATTCCAGGATCTTGCTTTGGGGTCAGAGGAGCGCTGGCCGGGCTCTCCTCCTCCAACCACAGCCAACACAAGGAAGGGGATGGCTGGGCTCCCCAGCCGCCAGGCTCGGTACCTAGCTCCACTTGCTTCTCCTACAGTTCAGGGGTGAGTACTACTGTCAGGTGTGAAAACTCAGGCTTGGTGGTCAAGCAGCTCTCCCAAGGTTCCACAGATTGGTAAATGGCATCTTTTGTCCCACCAGATGGACAACAAGGGGAGCAGGGTCCCGCTAGCAGGCCCTCTCTTTTCTCTTCCTAACTGTCCTCTGAAGATGCCCTGGTAGCTCACAGGTCACTGCTTGGCTGGTAATCAACAGGTGTGCACAGTATGAATGCTCCCAGAGGTTCTACAGGAGAAAGGCCTAGTGAACTGTTTCCTTAGAGATTGCAGGCAAGTAAACCATATGGGGCAGTGCTTCTTTATCATATGGGGTCACTATGAGTCAAAGGTGACTTGGCAACCAGCACCACCCCCTAAGAGGGTTACTTTGATTCCTCTTTTGTAGTATTTATAAAAGGAGGCTGACCAGAGAGCTCGGGACTGTCCCCCAATCACTGAATAGCAAAAGGTGGGGAAGGTGGGGAATCAGAAGACAGAGAGCTCCAGGCTTCGACGCTGATGGAAAAGTTCTTCTAAGTTCCCGTGGGATCAGCTCAGAGGACCCAGCTTCATAGGACTGAGCTCAGCTGGGGGTCAGCAGGGGTCTCAAAAGGCTGAAGAAGAGGCAGTTGGGGGCCAGAGAGGACAAGTAAAGGGCAGAATGGGGTAGGTGGGGTGAGGGCAGCAGATAGAGGCAAATGGGTGCAAGTTGGGGTGGATGAAGGCAGACAAAGACAGGCATCGGTACAAATTCGTGGGAAAACAGGAGTGGGGAGACAGACACGGTTAGAGGGCTGCCAGCTGGGGCCTTACCTTGTTCTCACAGTGAATCTTGGCCCCAGAGTTGACCAGAATCTGAAGAATCTCTAAGTGGCCAAACCAGGCAGACAGGAGAAGCGCATTCATCCCAAACTGGGGGAGAGGATGAGGGGAGGTGAAGAGAAAGTGAGGAGGTGTGGTTGTGCTGCCGGGGGTCTGCTGTCCACGTCACAAAATCATCAAGCCCACATAGGGTCACCTGTTCCAGTAAGCTTTAAAATATAAAGACTTTTTTTTTTTTTTTAAATAAAGGCAGATATACCATTGCCTACTTAAGCTTTTCTTAAATGTTGTTTTTGTTTTTAAGTGCTGTCGAGTCAGTTCTGACTCATAGCAACCTTATATAGGTTTTCTGAGAAGCAGTTGGTGAGTTTAAACTACCTATGTTGCGGTTCAAATCAATGTCAGAATGGAGTCCTGGGGTGGCACTGTAGGATAAGCACTGGACCAAAAGGTCATTTAAATTGCAAGGTCAGTGGTGCAAACTCACTAGCCGCTCCTCAGAAACCCTACACAGGGTTGCTGTGGGTGGGAACTGACTTGATAGCACTTAACAACAACAACGTCAGAATACATTCTTTCCAAGTGTAGCTTCATGGAAGGGTTGATGAAGACTTGACCTGGGCTGGTTTTTGAAAATGGACTGTTTCAGTCTGCTACAGAACAACCTCAAGGCACATGGCCTAAATCTAAATGTGTCCAGGGTAGCACCTCACCTGCACAGCAGATGTCCTCTGTGCTGTCAAACATTGCTCACGGGTAGAAAGTCCTTCATGATGTTGCACTGAAACTTGCATCCTGGTCATTCCTACCCCACCGGCCCTTTGGAACAACAGCAAACACGTCCAGGCCCTTCAGCCCAGAAAGTGTTTGTGGAGCTCCTTACTGACCTCAGCCCTTGAATCTTTCCTCCTCTATGAAGAGCGTCCTCAGGCCTCCAAACACACCTCCCAGAATGCAACAGCAGCCAGCACCCTCACACTGGTTTTCACTATCTCTTCTTGGATGTGGTGGTATCAGGCAGTCTGGGGACCACCACTATCTTCAGCCTAAGGGCTATGCTGTCCATCCCCAGTATGTGATAGGCACGCCAAAGTGTTTGTGGGTCAAATGTTTATAAACCAGAACATATTTTCCCACAGAAACACGGTCACATTTCCTAGTCAGGTCAAAGGTCTGTAGTATGGCCTTGTTCTGCTAGATCAATGCTTCTCCCCACAGGTGTGAAAAAGCAGGCTTGCTGTGAGAAAACATTCCAAAGCCCAGCTAGGAGCAAAAACAGAGCTCATCTCATGGGTGTTCTAGGGTTAGAGGCCTTATAATGTGTCCCACCCTTGGGTACTTCAAGCTGCCTGTGGCCTGGGACAGGAGGCAGATGACAAAGTTGGCCAGCTCCTAGTCCTTCTTCAAATCAGACCCAATCTCACAGGTTGGACTTCTGATGGGGAGGGTGACCATCCCTCAATACTCTGCACAGGTCACAGCTGCCTCCCCACAGGCTCCACGAGGATCCTTTGTGACGGATACCAAGAAATGTCGTGTTAGTGGCTGGCACCAGATTGTTTCTTATAGAGGAAATGGCTGTCTTTGGGTGAAAGCTTTGACAAGTGGTCAGGGTAAAAGATGAACCACAGCAGGCTGAGGAGCAGACACCTGAGCATCCAAAGAGAGAGTTTCACTGCTTTACCTTAAAAAGAATTTGCTAGAATTTAGAGGAGGTCATGGGAGGAGTTTAGAAAAAGAAGAAAATAAGAAAGGAGGGAGAATTGAGGCTAGGGCCCAGGACAAGGGACTGTACAGAACAAAGACTGTCAGATGTGGGATTGTATGATTGTCCATGATTTTCGTGTGCGAAAGTCCTTGGGTAGATGGGGTCTCTGTGGAAATGGGGAGAAAGGACTGAGGTCTATGTTTGGGGTGACATCAGGGAGTTGCAAAAGACTATTTGCAAAAGAGCAAGAGGACGGCAAGAGTTGAACAGAAGTCAGCAGTGCTAAGAGTTTAAGGGTTTCCTCCTTGGGGAAGCAGCAGGGTCTGCCAGAGAGCCTCAATGGAGACTGAAACTGGTCTCAACTAGAGCTGAATCGACCAGGAAACCTGGCACTAGCTCAGAGTCCAGCACCTGGGAGAATATCAGTGACTGGCGGCTGGCTGAGGAAGGGACTAAATAAGTCTGGGGCAGAGTCCAGAGGGAGAAGTCCACAGGAACTTGGGAATAAAAGGTTTCAAGGTTCAAGCCTGGGGAACAAGAATCACGAGAATCAGGGCCTCCTGCCAGTGAGAACCTCAGAGGACCCTCACAGTACTAGACCAGACTTTATCCCCCTGCCTCATTCCCAGGAACTGTCCAGCACACTGTAGCATATCACTAGAGACCTGCCTCCAACAACACAACTTCCTGCCCCTCTCGTACCCTCCAATTATTAAACTCAGCTTGCTCACTTGCATTGACCTTTGTCAAAATTGTGTGTATTGCTGTTAGCAGAGGAAACAGAGAAGATTTATAAAAAGACTTCCTCTTAATGTTTTCCCTTCATTGCCTTCTCTCACTTGGTCTTCGAAGAAAGAAGGAAGAAACAGAGTGGAGGGGTGATAGTGGGCAAAGGGCTATGCAAGGGTCTGCAGTGTTTTGCTGGGAAACTGAGATGGAGAATCCCAGACATTTTCCTGGCTGAGCAACCGTGAAATGAGGTCTAAACAGGTTTGAGGAGAACTGGGAAGGAGGGCAAGGGTAGGTGGTGCTACCCACGCCCAACACTGGCTTATAATCAAGTCCCTTAGTGCGGTGGGATCTAAGAACAGAGAGAAAGCCTGGGCCACCGTCTTCCCTCATCCAAAAACAGTGTTTTCATAGACAGCTGTGTGTCTGTAGGAAGTCTGTAATTTTTCAAAAGCTAAATTTAGATCCTTAAATGAATCTCTGTCAAATGTCATTGTCAGAGCCAGCCCTTTGTCTCAGACCCTCATTGTGGAGATCATCCGGTAGACCCTGTCCTTTAGTGTTCTCTCTCCTCAATGTGCTGCCAACCAATTTGTTAAGCAAGACAGTTAGTACCCTGTGGCATATCATGAGAGACTTTCTCCTGGTGACTATTAAACAGGTCTTTTCAATCTATCTAATTATCCTTCCTACAGCCCATATCGCTCGCTCTTGTCACGTGGCATCACGAGGAATTGCAAAGACTCTGAGAACTGAAAAGTCCTTGAAAATGGAGCGCTCCTTGTTCAGTAATAAATTCGGGGGGGGGGGGAGAGACTTTGAGTCCCCGCCCACCTGCACGTGTGCATCAGCAATCCACAGCAACCTCAGCAAACAGACATGGTTCAGATGTCCCTCCCCCAGACAGACAGGCATGCCTCCTGAGGGGCCCTTACCACATCCTCGTCGTCCACAGCAGCCTCGTGTTCCAGCAGCAGCCGTACAGCCTGCTCATGCCCTGCACCCGTGGCCCAGTGCAGCGCCACCCTGCCCACCTGCCAAGAAGAAGAGGATACCTGTCAGGGGGGCCAGCTGCCTAGCCCACCTCCCACATTCCCCTAGCTGGGACAGCTGGTCTGCAGGATGGAGGAGTCTTTGCTGGCTTTCCTTTGTCACGAACCTGTCAAGGTCTCCCTCAATCATCAAGCCCAGCTTAGCATCTCATCCTGGATGAGGCCTTTTATGACTCCCTGCCCGCTGCCCCCAACCCTAGGGTTTCTTCTTTTCACACACTCCTGCCCTGGCCATAACTAGGGAGGACTGTCTCCCCCACTCTGCTGTGAGTGCCTCTGGGACCAGCTGTGCCTTGATCCCTCTGTGCCCAGGTGCCCAGCACCTGCCTGACATGAAGCTAGAAATGAATGCTTCACAAGGGTCCCTGCCCAACCTGCTAATCCAGGCTGCCCCTCACTCTACTCTCAACAGACTGTCTCCCACCACCCAGGTGATTATTTCCTAGGAAGGTGAGGAGCAGTGTTGAGGGGCAGTGGGGAGGTGTTTCCATGAGCAGAGAAGCTCTTCAGATTTCCTTCTCATGCAGGCCTCTGGACCTAAGCCTGCTTCCAGCTGTCTGGTCCACTGCATCTTTCCTCCCACCACCAGAAAACAAACCAGCCACCTATATATAATCCCCATGGGGCACCTAAGTGCCTAGGTTCTGTCATCTCCTTCCCTCAGGGCAGGGCTAAAGGGGCCTGACTTCTACCCACCTCACTGTCAGATCAGCATCATGCTCTCTAGTCCTCAGGACAAGGCCCCAGGGGAAGTCAGCCCAAGAGCCCACTGCTGTCTGTGGTTACAGCTTGTGAGGGGACAATGACAGGAAACATTAATTTGCAGTGTGGCCACAGGCACTCTCTTGTCAACTAGCTGTTTCTTCCTTCCTCAGGGACTGCTTCTGACTCCTGATCTTTAACCTCCTACCACCTAGCTCTGACTTTTGCTCTTGGGTGTGCCTTTCAGACACTAAGAGCCTGCTTTGGAATTGCTAGTTCCTGGGTGATACAAATGGTTTGTGTTCATCTGCTAACTTAAAGGTTAGCGGTTCAAACCCACCCAAAGATACCTTGAAAGAAAGGGCTTGCAAACTGCTTCTAGAACTATTACAATCAAGAAAACTCTGTGGAGCTCAGTTCTGGTCTGAAACACATGGGGCCACCATGAATTGGTATTGAATCAACAGCAAAGGGTTTGGGGTTGTTGTTTTGGGGTGGTTTTTTTTGGTTGACTTGGAATCCTGACCCTGACCATGGGTGAGTCCCGTTACAGCTCTAAGTCAGGTTGGTGGTTTCAAACCCACCCAAAGGCACTTCCAGATAATGTAAATGTGCCTGCCTTTGGCTCAATAAACTGGTCCATCTGTGTGGTGGCATCGCCATGGCATTATCTGGGGCTGGGTTGTTACTGTTAAGTGCTATAGAGTCAGTTCTGACTCACAGAGACCCTGGATAGGGTTTCCAAGGAGCAGTTGGTGGGTTTGAACTGCTGATCTTTTGGTTAGCAGTCCAGTGCTTAACCTACAGCGCCACGCCAGGACTCCCAGTTATAGGAACCCATTCTGCATATAGGAGCCCTGGTGGCACAGGGGGCTATGCATTAGGCTGCTAACCCACCAACTGCTCCAGGAGAGAAAGAGAAGCTGCCTGCTCGCCTACAGATGTACAGACTCAGAAACTTTAAGGCGTGGGTTTGATTTAGTGGGCTTTTGGTATTACGCACGTGATTTCTGGCCCTGATGTTAACTTTCCTCCCAATCAGCTCCTTCATCCTCTCCATGTTGTTGCAGCGGGCTGCCTCGTGGAGCTGCCTCTCCAGAGGAAGCACTGCAGGTGGGAAAAAGGGGTGAGGGGTGGGAGAAGGGGTCCCCCACACTTCATAACAAGGGGCTGCATAGAACATTCCCAGGGAGGATCTTCCAGCTAGAAATGGGGTTATGGAGATGGCTCTCCTCCTGCTCAAGATCAGGGGCCATTCCAGACAGGCTGCTTTTCCTTACTCACTTCCGGAATGCTCACATGACCAGCAGCCCTACTATGTGACCCTCACCCCCTCAAAGGGCCCACCATCCGGTGTTCTCATGTCCCCTCTCCAAGAACTGCTCTCTGGGAAGGGATAATGAGTCTGTGGGTGATGCAAACATTGGATTACTAACCAAATCCACCCAGAGGCAACTCAGAAGAAAACTCTGGTGCTCTGCTTCCTAAAGGTCACAACCTTGAAACCCCTACATACGAAGTGCTCTTCTTTCTGCACGCACAGGGACCAGGGACGCTGTGAGTCAGAATCAACTCAACAGCAATGCGGTTTTGTTTTGTTTTGTAGTTTGGAGTCTGTCACTACCATTTCCAGAGCTCTGCCCAGTGTAGATGAGCACCAAGACTTCCTGAACCGCCTACTGTTTAGCAGCCAGCTACTTTAGCCACTGTGACACCAGGGGAGAGTGTGCCTTAATTGGGGCTGCATCTTATAGTGTCAGCCCCAGGCAAGGACAGACAAGCATGTGCACTCCACTTGTATGCCTCTGCATTCCATTCCTCCACCTCATTATTACTCCACACCCAAATCCTTGGTAGCTCTCATCTATCCGGAAAGGTCCACTCTGATTTGTCCTCTCCCTGATCTCTCTCTGCTTCCTTCATCATTACACCTTCATCTCATTTCCTCAGAGAAAAGAAACCTCAATGTTGCCCTCTGTTGCAGACACAAGTAGGCTCTGTGGTCATGTAGTTAGCAGAATATGGTCGTGGTGGTGATGTGCCGTAGAGTCGGTTTCGATTCATAGCAATCCTGTATAGGGTTTCTCAGGCTGTAAATCTTTACAGGAGCAGAAAACATCATCTTTCCCCTGTGGAACCGCTAGTAGTTTCAAACTGCTGACCTTGAGGTTAGCAGCCTGACTTGTAACCATCGCTACCAGAGCTCCTACGCTGGCAGAATTGTTGTTGTTAAGTACCATGGAGTCGGTCCCTACAAAGTGTTTCCGAGGCTGTAAATCTTTACAGGAGCAGAACGCCTCATCTTCTCCCGCGGAACCACTGGAGCTCTGGTAGCGTAGTGGTTACGAATCGGGCTGCTAGCAGAATAATGTCCCTTAAAAATTCACATTCATGTGAATGTGATCTTTTTTGGAAACAGGGTCTTTGCAGACATAATTAAGATGCAGTCATATTAGATTCGGGTGGGCCCTAAGTCCAATGGGTGGTGTTCTTACAAAGAGAAGACATACAGAGAAGGTCATGTGAGGATGGAAGCAGAAGTTGGAGTTGTGCCATCACAAGTCATGGAATGCCAGGAGCTGGACAAACCAGGAAGAGAGCTGGCCCTGCTGGCATTTTGATCGAGGACTTCTGGCCTCCAGAACTGTGAAAGAATACATTTCTGTTGCTTTAAGCCATCAGTTTGTGGTATGTTTTTACAGCAACCACAGGAAATGAACAAGTCACACAGTGGGTTAGTGGCTGGTGAGGACCTGGGCTGGTGAGCTGGATTTCTGTATTGTCATCATCATGACGGACTGGCCTTGGCTTGTTCGGATACTGGTCTCTTTGAGTAGACTAGAAGCTTCTTAGGACCCCACCCATGTCTGACCCCTCCTGACCTACCCACAATTCAGTAGTCCCAAAACTGGACACAGGGAGGAATCCACAAAACTCCATTTCCATGAGTGACACTAATAATCCCCAGTGCTCATGGATGCCCAGAGTCCTGGTACAATGCTGCAGGATAAACACTGGACTGATAACCCCAAGATCAGTGGTTCCAACCCACCAGCTGCTCCTTGGAAACCCTATACAGGGTTCTTATGAGTCAGAACCAACTCAATGAAACTTAACAACAACAACAATGAATGCCCATCCATCATCCAGAAGAGCTCAGACACTACCACAGGGACAAATAGTTGCTGGCCCTTTGCATTGTCACATCAGGGCAGGTAATCTAGCAATTATATTGCTGTCAAGCCTACAACCTGCATGTTTTGTCCAATGTGAATGCCGGGAGCCAGCCCCCGCGAGTATCCGGGACACGTGGTCAGTGTCTTGTCAGGAGGGTTAAGGCATGTTAAGGTGATAGGCAGGCCTGCCATGCAGTTTGTCTTTCCAGGTAAATTCCATACAACCTTTCTGATGTGGGAGAGAGTCTTGGAGCTTTCTGTGGGTCCTAGAGATGCTTCTCCAGGGCAATCAACTCTGACTGAGCATTTAGGTTTCTTAATTGTCCCAGGCCTCAGTTTCCTCATCTGCAAACTTGCAGGGTGATTGAAAGGATTAGAAATAAGATATGAATACCCTCGCAAGCTGTCTAGCACATAGAGTGCCATTATCAACATCATCATCATAATCATTCCTCCAAGTCTAAGACCTGCAGGTGGCGGCATCTTCTTCTTTTAGGGCCTTCTCAGCCAGTGGAGCCCCAAACAAGGGAAGCACCTCCCTATCTCCTTCCTTGCATTCTTTTTCTCCACCCATCACCACTGTCAATGCAATATTTACATATTCATGAGGTTTACTGTCTGCTCTCTCCATTATAATATAAACCCAGGGAGGGGAGGGATTTTTGTCTGATTTGTTCATTGCTGTAGTCTTTCAATTCAGTATTGTCAAATGGTTTTGTGATATGTGAATCATTAAATCTCTTCAGGAGCCTGGAAACTATAAGATGCTGCCCCAATTAAGGCAACACTATCGCCTTGGGACATTCTGGTGTCACAGTAGCTAAAGCAGCTGGCTGTTAACCAAAAGGTTGGCATTTTGATCCCATCAACCACTCCATAGGAGAAAGATGTGGCAGTCTGCTTCCATAAAGGTTTATGGCCTTGGCAACTGTGTACCAGGGGTGGGAAACTTTTTTCTGCTAAAATTTATAACATCATTCAAGGGTCATACAAAATTATTAACTTAAAAATTAGCCTGCAATATTTGGTCAATATTCAGACTCCTGGTGTGGTGCTACAGGATCAGCACTAGACTGTGAGCCACAAGTTCAAACCCACCAGCTGCTCCTCGGAAACCCTATACGAGATCACTATGAGTTGGAACCGGCTCGACAGCACTTAATAATAACAACAACATATTTGTTGAAACATTTAATAACTTACGCCTAATATGATGGACTTCTGGTGTGGCGCTGCAGGTTAATGCGGTAAACTGCAACATTGGTTTGGGCCATTAAGGCCGGCAGTTCCAACAGTTCCAACTCATCAGCTGCTCCTTGGAAATCCTGTACAGGGTCTCTATGAGTCGGATCCCAACTCAATGGCACTTACCAACAACAACAACAATGTGATGGCTAAGGAGCTCTGGTAGCATAGTGGTTACGAATCGGGCTGCTAATCTCACAGTCAACAGTTCGAAACTGCCAGCTGTTCCACGGAAGAAAGATGAGGATTTCTGCTCCTGTAAAGATTTACAGCCTTGGAAAACCTATGTAGGGTCGTTATTAGTCAGAACCGACTCCACAGCACAACAACACAATGTGATGGCTAGAATTGCGGTTGCCTTGGCAGAACCAGACCAAATGATTTGGGGACCTTTTATGACCCTGGACCACTCCCCACCCCTGCCCTATACAGTAGTTCTTCTCTGTCCTACAGGGTCAATGAGTCATAATCGACTGGACAGCCATGAGTTTAGTGGAGATCCTTGGGAAACGAAACCACAAGCTCAGATAAATGACAGGAAGGAGGCTCTGTGGCAGCTTCTTGCCAATACATCAGGGATGGGAGAGTGTTTCAGAGAAACATTCTTTTCCAAGTGGTCCCCATTGATTGCTCCTCCCTTCCTTACCCCAGTAGGGGTCTGTCTTCCCTATAGGAAAGGAGGGACCCTGTTATAAGGTAACAGAATAGGCTCTGGGAGGGTCCCTCTCAGATACAAAGCACTTCCAGTGAGCACTGTGTCCTGAGCTTTTCTCTCCTGAAAATCACCACTCTCTAAGTTCTGGAAAAGAGCTGGCACTTCAGGTGTGAGCTTCAAGAGGCTTGGGTTCTAGTACCCGCTCTGCCTCTTTTGAGCAGCAAGATCCTGGGCTAGTCACTTATATGCCCCTTGTGAGGGTGAGGGTCTCTGATTCTTCAGCTGTAAAATTGGAGAGGGTAAAAAAAGGGGTCTGTATAGGTCTTTAGCTTATTTACTTTGGAAGGTTGTTGTTGTTGTTAAGTACTGTGGAGTCAATTCCAACTCACTGACCCTGCACAGGGTTTCTGAGGCTATAAATCTTTACAGGAGCAGAATGCCTTATCTTTCACCCGTGGAACTGCTGGTAGTTTCGAACTGCCAACCTTCAAGTTAGCAGCCTGATCCGTAACCACTAGCCATCAGGAAAGACCAATCACTAGAAAAGATCATCATCGTTTGGAAACTCTCAATGAGATGGATTGATACATTGCCAGACAATGGATTCAAACATACTGACTAGCATGAAGATAGCACATGGCTGGCAACGCTTCATTCTGTTATACATAGGTGGCCATGAGTCTCTGCCAACTCAACACCAATTAACAAGAACAACATTCATCCTGCCCAGCTCTCCACCCTCTGGATTAGCGGAAATTTGGAGCAATGGCCTGGGTTGAGCTGGCAAACAGCCAAGAGTCAGAATGAGGAGCAAGTAGATCCTGCCCAGAAAAGGTTGTAGGAAAAGGACATCAAATCCCAACTAATCTCTTCCCTCCACTGTCACCACATTTCCCCAGTTCCCAGCCACATGAATATGCCTGCACTCTTGAGCCTCTGCCCAGGCTGGGTCCTCTGCCCAGACTTCCCTCCCACACACTCCAATGCTTTGCGACTGCCCATTATTTAAGGGACCCACTCAAGGCATCCTCTGTAGCCAAAACCTTGCGTCCCCTTTGAAATCGCTACCATTAGCCCCTACTTTCCATCAGTGAAGAGTCCTGGTGTGGCACGGTGGGCTAATGCACCAGACTGCAAAGCTGTTTGAACTGCAAGGTTGGCGGTTCAAACAACTGCTCCTTGGAAACCCTATAGGGTCACTATGGGTCGGAATCGACTCAACGGCACTTCACAACAACAACTCCATCAGTGAAGGAGCTCTGGTAGTGTAGTGGTTACAAAGCAGGCTGCTAACCTCAGGGTCAGCAGTTTGAAACTATCAGCTGTCTGCAGGAGAAAGATGAGGCTTTCTGCTCCTGTAAAGAGTTACAGCCTTGGAAACCCCACACAGGATCACTATGAGTCAGAACCAACTCCACGGCACATAACCACCACCACCACTCCATCAGTGAGTAGATACAGTTTGCTTCAGCATTTTGCACACTGTAGGTCTCAAAAGTACCCTGTAAGAAGATACTTCTTGAAAGAAAGACCTACAGGAAAAATATAAAACAACATAGGCAGACCGACTGTTACTACAAGAACAAGCAACATGCTTGCCCAGGAAACATCAAGGCCCCCTCAGTGCAAACCCCCTCCCAAGACTAAGACTCAATGGGAATACACGCTGTGATTGGTGACCACACTCGACACCGATAAGGGGAAGTGAGGGAAAAACAGCAATGAAGTGGTGAGCTAAGCCCTACAATGTTCAATAGACTTCTGTGAACCCGGGTGAAGACCTGGTTGGCCAGCAGTGTGGCAAGACCTGGGGACTCTTGGGCCCAGAGTCAGTGACATAGCCACAGAGGACTAGAGTGGAGAGTGAAGTGTCCAGCTGATAAGAAGAGAGGGCATATGCATAAGAACACCCACACTTGCAGATAATAGTCCTGGCTTCAATGACTGGATGATCAAAGCTCAACCAGAAATAAAAAGAAGAGGAAAAAAAAAAAGTATTCTCATATAATTTGATGAACTTGACCTACACCTATGGAAGCAGTAGCTCAAAAGAGGGAATAAATCCTTACAGCAAGAATCATTCCCACCCCCTCCACACACAGAGTAGACAGGGATGGGCAATTTGGACATTGGCTACCCAAAATGGGGGATGGGGGGCTACAAAGGCAAGAAGTGACTGGCTTACAAGCTTTCAAGAGGGAACCTAGATCCAGAGGGCATGGAGGAAGGTAGAATCTCCAGTGAGTAGTATTCAATCTGACTAGGCAGGGCTGATGCAATGAAATGCCGACGGGTCTCTTGTGATACAATAGTGAATAATTGTTATCAGGACTGATTGTGAGGATTGGAAATGTAAAGATAGACGTTTTATAGGAAGGAGGGGAGTGATTAACTTTTCAATCTAGGAGCGGAGGTCCCTAGGACCATCAGGGGAGAAGAGCAGAGAGCAGGACCCTACCCAGAGAAGCAGTGATGCCTGAAATGGAGCCAGAGATGATGACGATGACGTTGAGCGATGGAGCAGCTGGAGACTTTAGATCCAGAGAGGGAGAGCGACTGTGTACTGAAGACCTGGGGAGCATGGGGAAAGATTGTAACCATGGCAATGAGAGGATATATGATAGAATGAATGTAAAACTAATGTTCTCCCATGTAAACTATCACATAATTCACACACACACACACACACACACACACACACACAAAAGTACCCTGTAAGCTGTAGTAAGCGGGGAGCCCTTGGGTTTTGTTGTCAAGGTTCAGCCAGAGCTGTAGAATTGGAACCAGCAGTAAAGACCTGGCAGCATAAACCTCTCTCTTCTCTCTCCCAATAGCTCCTAGTTGATGCTCTCGCCAGATGCAGCTGCTGAGCCTAAAAGAGCTGGCCTTGAGCAGGCTCCTTGTGCAAGGTTCTGAGGTGCTGTGATCTCACGTGCAGCACACCACAGCTCCTCTCCTCCGGATCTCAGGTTCCCCATCTGATATGGTCTCCATCCAGCCTTGACATTCTGGTGGAGCTGAGACCTCACATTTCTACCACTTAAAGGCTGTGTGTTTTTGGATAACTTACTTCATCACCCTGTGCCTCAGATTTCTCATCTGCAAAATGGGTCCTACCTATAGGGCCACTGTACAGATCATTAGTTCAGTCCCTCCCCATTCCCCCTACAACAAAGAATTTATAAAGTAACTAATAAAGGATTACAACTGGTGGCCCTCTGAGTTAGGCATTAGATTGCTAATGTAAAGGTGGCTATGAGTCTGAAAGCATTTGGTGGGATAGTTTTTTTTTATTCCCATGAGTATGGAAGCCTTGTAAAACAGTGGTTAAGAGTTTGGCTGTTTACCAAAAAGTTGATGGTTCAACCCACCCAGCAGATGCAAAGGAGAAAGCCCTGGCAATTTGCCTAGGAAACCTTATGGGGCAGTGCTAGTCTGTGACATGAGGTCACTATGAACTGGAATCAGCAAAGGGTTTTTGTTTTTTTAATTATTACTATTACCAGTATTCAGGAGTCTTGGTGGTGCAGTAATTAAATGCTTGGCTGCTAACCGAAAGGTTGGAAATTCTAACCCACCAGCCCTCTCTGTGGGCGCAAAGACCTGGCGTTCTGCTCCGGTAAAGATTATGGCCTAAGAAACCCTATGGGACAGTTCTACTCTGTCCTAGACCGTCGCTATGAGACAGACTAGGCCTGACAGCATACGACAATTCCCATTCGAATTTCTAGCTAATGTCTCCTCAGCCACAGCCTCTGGCTAGCTCGTTTTCCAGGAGTATCACTAACTGGAGCCCTAGACGCGCGGCCAATGTCCTCGGCGCCCTCCGCTCAGATCCCAAAAGGAGCCCAAGACAGAGGTGGCCATGCGAAAGGCGCCAATTGCAACCTTGGTCACCCCCGTGGGAAGAGGTCCGCTAGTTCGCCCACGCAGCCAGTGGCTTCGATGCCTCGACCCCAGAGCTTGGGGTGGGCTCCTGGAGCGCACTGTACCCGCTCCCCCCTCCCTCCTTCCCGCCGCGGACTCACGGCCATCCGTCTCCCACGCCAGCTCCTCCTCCATCCCGCCGCTCCGCAGCCCCGGCGCGAGGCGCGTGTCCACCGAGGCAAGCCCGGGGTGAGGCCCCTGGGAGCGTCTGGTATGTGAGACGGCCGTGGGCAGGCTCTTCCAAACCCCTCACTCCTGCCTGGATCCTTCGCTGAAGATCTGAACAAAGCTGCTACGGCCTTTTGTTCCCTCCTCCCCTCCCAGCCAGGCTGCAGGTTCCTCCTCCTCCTCCTCCTTCCCCAACCTGCCCACCACAGCTCAGCACCTTACATTACCGACCCAAATATTTAAAATACATGCACGCAAAACAACACAGATTTGCAAAGACACATACAAGCACGAAGAATGAGTTACACTTCAGACTTGGTACGGTGTCTTCTCTCCTTGCCCGTGCTCTCCTTGCCCGTGACACTTAAAGGCATTTACCGTCTTTTTAAATTTAGGGATGGTTGAGTCCCAGGTATTCCTGCTCAAAGACAAGAAGCTAGAAGACCTCTGAGAGGTGCTGTGACTAGTTCTCTGCAAATCAGAGGATTGTTGTTGTTGTTAAGTGCCATCGAGTCGATTCCGACCCATAGCGACCCTGTATAGGGTTTCCGAGGAGCAGCTGGTGAGCTTGAACCACCAACATTGCAGTTCAAACGACTTTGTAGTCTGACTCATTAACCCACAGTGCCACAAAATGAGAGTGCAGTTCAGGAAGTCTTCGTGGAGAAGAGCGTACTAGGAATGAGCGCTGAAAAATAACTTAATAAATAAATAAAATAATAGCTAGGCTATTAGCCACACTTTATTAACACACTTTGTTAACCACACTTTGTGTAGATTGTCTTATGCTGTCCCTTGAACAGCCCTATGAAATGGGTACTATCATCACCATTTTGTGGAGGAGGCAGTGAAACACAGAAAGGGTAAGTAACTTTCCAACCTTACACCAGTACGTGGTGGAGCCAGGTTTCTAACCCAGGCTGCCTGATTTAAGAGCCACTGGACTGCTAAATGCAAGGTTGGCATTTCAAACCCACCAGCCACTCCTCAGACACTGTACATGAGTCAGAATCAATTTGCCGGCACTTAGCATCAACAAGAGCCAAAGTGGACAGGCAGCAGTCTCTAACTCCTGACCTCCCAGATGGATGGGACCAGAAGTGCCAAGGAGCAATTGGCTGGCACAGCTCCCGGGCTGCCAACCATGCTGTTTGTGGCCCTGGGTCATACAGTTTTATGCTGCTTTATCACCTTTTTCCTGAAGCCACTGTTGCCTAGGGACTATCCACCTTCCCCCTCACTCTTTCCCTGGAGAGCCTGCAGATAAGACCCAATTGACCCTTAGGTGGCATTGGAGAGACTTGGGCAGTGGAGTGACTCTGACAGACTAGTGACCCCAGCCAAACCAGCCGACATGGCCCAAGCTGGGCCACATCCATCCAGCATTTCCCGGTGAGCTCAGAAGGTCCTATGGAAATTCCTCTAGCAGATAGTCCAACTCTCAGTGCTCCTAAAATGAGTCCGATTCATAATGTCACTTACTCCCCCATAACAATTCTGCAAGACAGACATTGTCATCCCCATCTAATGGGTGGGGAAACTGAGGTTCAGAGAGGCTCAGTAACTTGGCTGAGGTCACAGCAGCAAGTAAACAGCAGAGCCTGAATTCGAAAACCAAACCCACTGCCATAGAGTCAATTCCAACTCAGAGTGACCCTATAGCATCGGGTAGAACTGCCCTTTTAGATTTCTGAGACTGCTACTCTTTATGGGAGCAGACAGCTTTCTCTTTCTCTTTCAGAGCAGCAGCTGGTGGGTTCAAACAGCTGGCCTTGCTGTTAGCAACTCACTTTATAACCCAACAATTCACCAGGGCTCCTTGGACCAATCTATTTTTAACCTCCTCCCTTCCTTCAAGGAGTCCTGGTGTGGTGCTGTGGGTTAATGCATTGGACTATAAGGTTGGTTTGAACTGCAAGGTCAGTGGTTCAAGTTCATCTTCGGAAACTCTATACAGGATTGCTATGAGGCGGAACCAACTTGACAGCACTTAACAACACCAACAACTTCTTTCAAGTTCAATTCCCACAGCACCCCTTTCTCATAGCTCTCAAGAAGCTTTCCATAGTAACCAGCTAGTGATCTCGCTCAGTCCCTTCCCTTCTGTGGGCCTCACTCTCCTCTGCTACAAAACTGCCCAGTTAGATAGTAGGGTATGTGAGATCTCTAGTCTACTGGCTGTAGTTAAACACAACACAGCAATCTCCCTGGCCCAGGTAGCTAGGGGCTGAAAGAACCTCAGCACTGATGGCAGATTTCTGCACAACATAACCCTCCTGATTTTTTTTTTGTTCTGACTCTGTCTTAATGAGAAATGAGAGGGGTTTTGTTGTTGTTGTTGTTTACAAAATAGCATTTTGACTTGTGTTTGACAGTCTACCTACTTGATTTCATATTCTTTTGTCATTTGAGGAACATCCTGTTAGGAGGGCAGAGTCCTAGGCCCCATCCCAGACTTGCTGAGTCAGAACCTGGATTTTAACAAGATCTAGTTACTTCCTGTGTAGATTTCAACACAAGGAACGCATCTCTAGTCCATTTACACCACTTGATTCCAATCTATTCTTGAAACTCTTCTGTCCTGGTTTCTCCAAGCAGATTGAATTTCTCTGAGCTGTTGATGTATTGAGCACTGGTTGTATACCAGCTGCCGCTTCAATCCTTAACAGCAAGTTCTCATTCACTCTGTCCCAGGAGTGAAGTAAGAGCCAGTAAGCAGCTAACTCACACTCAAAGCCAGTGCCTTTGGATCCTATATTAATTGCCCACTGGACTGCGAACCACAGGTTGGAGGTTCAAATCCACCAGCTGATCCTCAGAAACCCTATACAGGGCTGCTATGAGTCAGAATTGACTGAATGGCACTTAACAATAACAGCTGCTAATGGAAGGATCCCTGGTGGTGCAGTGGGTTAAGCATTTGACTTCTGACCAAAAGATCAGCAGTTCTAACCTACCAGTTGTTCTGAGGAAAAAAGATAAGGGTGTCTGCTCCCATAAAGATTTTTCAGTCTCAAGAAGTCTATGGAGCAGTTCTACTCTGTCCTATATGCTATGAGTCAGAATCAACTTGATGGCAGTTGTTGTTGTTGTTGTTGTTAAGTGCCATCGAGTCAATTCTGACCTATAGCAACCCTGTATAGGGTTTCCAAAGAGCAGCTGGTGAGCTAGAACCACCGATCTTGTAGTTCAAACGACTTTGTAGTCTGACGCATTAGCCCACAGTGCCATACGCTTGGGTTTTCATTGTTGATGGAACAAATGGCCAAAGATGTAGCGACTTAAAACAAGACAGATTTATTCTCTCGCAACTCTGGAGGTCAGAAGCCCAAAATAATTTTCATGAGGCTAAATTCAAGTCTCTGAGAGGGAGAATCCATTTCCTTGCCTTTCTCAGCTTCTCGTAGCTCATAAATTCCTTGGCTTGTGGTCCTTTCCTCCATCTTCAAAGTGCATCACCCCTTCACCCCATTGCTCCATCATCACATCATGTTCTCCTCTGACTCTGACTCTGATTCCTCTGACTCGGTCCTTCTATGAGGATCATTGTGACTATACCAAACCCTTTGAAGAGTCCTGGTGGGGCACTGCAGGATAAGCTGCTAACCAAAAGGCTGGCAGTTCAGACCCACCAGTCACTCCTCGGAAACATTATGCAGGATCACTGTGAGCTGGAACCAACTCCACAACACTTAACAACAATTGAAGAATGCAGGATAATAACCCCATCTTTGCTAGATCCTTAAGTTAATCACAGCTTCAAAATTTCATTTCAAAGTTTCATTTGCCATTCAAAGTTTCACTTTCATAGAGTCCTGGCATGGTCACTGTGGGTTAATGTGTTGGACTGCAAAATTGGTTTGATCCACAAGGTCAGCTGTTCAAGTTCACCAGCCACTCTTCAGAAACTCTATACAGGGTCTCTATGGCTTGGAACTAACTTGACGGCACTTAACAACAACAGGGATTGACATATGGACATTATTAGGGGATCTTGTTCTACACAGCAGCTCTTACTGAGAGCAAGGCTGTGATACATGCCCTGCAGCCTCAGGGATGGGCACACAGCACACAGTAAGACACAATGTCTCAGCCCACACTCCATGATGTCCCTTGTCACCTCATGGTCTTAGGCATCTTCCTCTCAAAGTCCCCAGGGCTGCTCCTCAGAGTCTTGGAAGGCTTTCCTGGTGTTGGGTCTTCAGGGAAGCCCAAGTATGCAGCACGCTCTGCCCTCTTCACCTGACCCTTGGCATCTCAAACTGGGGCACCCATGCCCTGGGGGGTGCACAGTGGTTGACCAGGGGCTCAGGAAACCACAAACAAAACCTCAGCTTTACATGATGTGTGAGGAGAGGTTGGAAAAGCTCATTTTTATCAAAACTCGGGAATCGGATCCACAGTCCAGTGAGTGAGCCACTTCAAACAGGATCCCAGAAGTGGATGTTTACACTTCTTTACTTTCGAGGTGTTTGGAGAGACATTTGAGGGAGTTAAACCCCGGTTCTGTCCTTCTCAAGTCCATGCCAGGATTCAGGGCCCTTTTTCACCACACTTGATCTCTGGCCCTCAACACACACACACACACACACACACACACTACATATATACATACTACATACACACACACACCACATGCCACACACACTACAGAGATCCTCAAGTCGTTCTCCAAACTGACTGTACTGGCTTCACACATAGGCCGCCTCCATCTTTTTGGCTTCTAGGATACCTGGGGTCAAGGCAAGAAGAACTTGTCATTCAGAGATACCAGCGCTGACAAGATGGAGAGAAGGCTCTGAGAGTCCAGTGCTGAGGCTTAAGGTGGGGATGGCTTCCAGGCTTGTGTGTTGTGTGAGCATGTGTGCCAAGGGAAGTGACTGACCTTACATTGATTAGAAACATGAAAGTGAGGGGAAAATGGAAAACTTGGTTTGACTATGGAAAGCAATGACAGTCTTTTATGACCTCTGCCTAGTAATTCTG